TTATTTACTTTTGTTAGTTTTAAATTTATACTTTAATCTTATTTATTAGGGAGTATTACTTATCTATTTTTATTAATAAAAAATATTTATATTAAATTTATATAAGTATGAATTGAAAATGATGAATATTGTTAAAGAAATGGAGAGGCGGATATCATTGCAGAATTTTAGAATGGGGCAGCAAATTAGTGAAATATATGACAAGAGTTGAGGCAAGATAGAATTTAGATGATTGTAAAAATGCTCTTAAGAATATGCGGAGGTGGCGGAGGGTAGGGTTATTCATCGGTCCCAGACCGGATCGGAGACCGAATTGAATAAAATCATGGACCAGAGACTAGACTTAATTGTATTTGGGTTTGAACTAGACTGGACGAAAATATTTAGGACCAAACCAGTCTGGACTGATTGAACTGAATAAAAATACATATTTTTAATTATTATGATCAATCAAATACTATATTTTAGACTTTTTACTTTGTACAATTCAAATAGAATAAAATAAAAAAATTGGCAACCTAAAAATAGATACACAATATGAACTAGTTCTACGTGGAATCATAAAAACCAATATGAAATATTTATTTTATTTTTTAAAATTACTTAATAAAAAACCTTTTTAATAAGTAAATTAAGATATTTATTAAAATAGAGCAACAAAGTGTAAAATCGAACTTAAAAAGTAGAATTTTAGTATATAGGTCTTTTAGGTCTAGTAGGATTATTAGTTCCATTTGGTCCGGATCTAAATGATTTCGGGTTTTGACTGGATCGGATTGAAATCCGAACACCTAAATTTTCTAGAGCGAAAAACGATCTGAAATCCATTGGATTCGAGTTCGGTCTGGACCTAACGGTCCGGTTCAGTCCGGACCTAAATGTGAATCGCCCTAGCAGAGGGAGGTATGCAGAGACAGAGAGCATCACAAACAATGGCAATCGCAAATCCTCAACTTTTACAAAAAATTTTGATTCAATACCTAAACTTCAAAACCTTTCAAAAAAATCTCTGAACTTTGAAAATCTTTCACGAATGGTACCTGAAGCCGGTTTTTAGGTAACCAGCAGGTCATTTGGGCCAAATTTTAATTTTTTAAATTTTACTACCTCCGTCCCATTTTATAACGCCTGTTTCGGTTTACGATGTTTGACTGAAATTATTTTCAAACCATTTTATATGAAAAATGGTATAGAATTAAAAAATAAAAATTACATATTAAAAAACTACATCAAAAGATCTACAAAACTAGTAGTGACAATAATATTTTATTTTATCAAATTGCTAACGAAAATAGAGAAAGAAAGTGAATGAAGTTTGACCCTGTGAATAGTAAACAGGCATTATAATTTGGGACGGAGGGAGTACAATTTTGAATGTGATCCCATTTCCTTTTCTTCTTCTCCCTCCCCCCACTTCCTTTTTTTTCTTCTTTTACCCCTTTTCTTCTTCTTCTTTCACCCCCTTTATTCTTCTTCTTCAAAACTCCCTTCACCCCACCCCTACCCCCTCCCAGCCCCCCATCCTACCCCCTTCCTTTCCTCTTTTTTTCAACATCCCCCCTCACTCTCTTCTTGAGCTCCCTCTTTTTGCCTTTCCTTTTCCACATTTTTTTTGTTTTTTGTTTTTTTTGATCTTGTTTGTTTGTTTTTTGGTTAAAATTTTTGTTTGTTTTTTATCTTTTTTTTCTTGATACTTTTATATTATTTGTTTGTTTGTTTACGAGTTTTTTGTGAACTTTTTTTTGTAAGTTTTTTTATCTATTCTCTTAAGAAGTGTTTTATTTTATTGTTTGTTTTACTTTTTTTGATATTTTTTTGTCTTACTTTTTTTTTTTCTTTATCCTTTTTTTGTTATTTTTTTATGTTTTATTTTTTCATAAAAATGAAGAAAAATATTAATTAGCATTTTGATTCGTTCTTTTTTGTGGGTTGTTCTCTTTTTATGTTTCACTTATTCTTAGTTTGACTTATTTTATTTTATTAATTGATGAGTTCTATTTTATTGAACATTTTATTTAAAAAAAATTAATGTACCAAACATTTAATGTTTTTGTTTATTTTATTTGAAAACAGACAAAAAAAGCTAACAAACAAAAAATATCAAATAAAACAAACAAATATCAAGTTTTTTAAATCTATTCTTTTAAGAACTGTCTTATTTCTTTTGTTTGTTTTACTTTTTTATTTTTTGATTTTGTTATATCTTATTTTCGCTTGTTTTGATCATTTTTTATTTTTATGCTATATTTTATTTTTTTCATTAAATGAAGTAAAAAAACTAATTGACCTTTGGATTCTTTTTTTGTGGGTTGTTCTCTTTTTATGTTGCACTTACTCTTCTTTTTTTTTTTTATTAATTAATTTATTTTATTTTGTTAATCATTTTAGTTAAACAAAAAGATTGTACCACACGTCTTCTTTTTTGTTTGTTTTATTTGATATTTGATATTTTTTGTTTGTCAACTTTTTTTTCTATTTTCAAATAAAATAAACAAAAAGAAAACAACCCACAAAAAAGAACGAATCAAAATGCTAATTAATTTTTTTTCTTCAGTTTTATGAAAAAATAAAATATAAAAAATATCAAACAGAAAAGGATAAAGAAAAAAATAAGACAAAACAATATCAAAAAAATAAAAAAGTAAAACAAAAAATAAAATAAAACGCTTCTTAAGAGAATAGATAAAATTTTACAAAAAAAAGTTCACAAAAAACTCGTAAACAAACAAACAAATAATATAAAAGTATCAAGAAAAAAAGATAAAAAAACAAACAAAAATTTTAACAAAAACAAAACACAAAAAAATGTGAATTGAAATGCAAAGGCTGATAACCAACGCCGGAAAACAAAGGTTATGGTTTTTGAAAACTAATCATTTGGAAAACCTTTAAATGTGTCCAGAAGCAAAAACTTTATTTTGATCACTTTCGTAACTTGGAATCCAAAAACTACTATTTTCTTTTAGGGGAGAATACTTTATTTATAGACCTGTTACGAACCCGTTAAAAATAACACTGCCCAAAAAAACACACAACCAAAAACACAAAACAAAAAACAATTACCTTTCGGTGGAGAACCAAAAAACCCAAAAAAAACAATGCCAAAAAATTAAAAACCAAAAAAATACAATCAATTACGTCTAACATTCACAAAAAATCGTTAAAACCGTTACGAAACCGTTAAAAACAACACTGCCCAAAAAAATACATAGCCACAAACACAACAGCGCAAAAAAAACATTTACTTTTTGAAGAACAAAAAACCCAAAAAACACACTGCCAAAAAACAAATACCCAAAAAAATCAATCAATTACGTCTAACATTGACAAAAAAACCCTATACGATTTTAACAAAGCCAAAAAACCTAAGTTTATCAAAAAAACAATGCCAACCTTCAAAAAAACCACACTACAGTGAACCTAAGGGAAACACATACTCCCTCCGTCCCATAAAACATGGGATGTTTTGTTTTTTGAAGAAATTTAAGGGGAGTGTATTTTGGTATCGAATTTCCAAAAATGTCCTTTGATGTGATGGGTAAAAGTAGGATTTGATGAGTAGATTTTTAGTAAAAAGGTATGATGTAATAGGTAGGGTATGAAAAAGTAAGTGGTAAAAGCGACTTTTTAATAGAAATAAGAAGTGTTTTTTGGGACAAATGAAAAAAGAAAGGAGAAAGGTTTTTCAGGACGGAGGGAGTACATTTTTGCAGTGCACCTTAAAAAAACACACTGCCAGCCTAAGGGGAAAAAAAACCTTTTTCTAAAACCACCAAAATTCCATTGTAGTGACATGATTAGAATCGCCTAGAACCACAAAAAGTTACTAGTAATCAATTCACAACAAAAACTTTTTTGGCCGATTAAGTTAATAGTATGCCAAAACTACTACTCATCCAAAATTTTATTTTCCCTTATGCAGTGGGTTATTGTTGCCTAGGCGATTCAATTGGAAACTTTGTATGAGTAAATTTTTTGGAAGCGAATTCATTGCCAAAACAAAGCATACCTGTATCTTCTCCAATCTTTTGCTTAAAGGAATCTCGTCCAGCGCATTGAAACCCTGGTCTCCTTCCTGAAGCTGCTGCGTTCGGCCGTGTGAAGCTTGATGCTTGGCCGCCAATTACTTTGGTAATATTGCGTTCTCGAGGCTGCTGCGTGAGGTCTACTTCGGTGATATTGTGTGAAGCGCCAATTACTTTTTCTTAACCTAATTCAATATAATTCAATTTTGGGTGTTTATTAAAGGACAAAATCGGAAATTCATCTCAAAAACTAATAGCACTGCTATTTTGAGTATTATAAGGCTATTAGAGTGCTATTTTCGTATTTCTCCCTTACCAAAAACGTATAGTAATTTGCACATGTACACTGCCACATTACAACAGGGCAAAGTCACATTACCACAGTGCAAAGTCCTGTTTCGGGAAAAAAACATGAAAGTCCTATTTTGGTACTTTATACTATGTTTTAGTCCTATTTAGGGTGATTTCCAATAGAACAATACTACCTCCATCCCTGAGTATTTGTTGAGTTTTGACTATTTTCAGTTAGTTTTTTTAACTTTTGACCTATAATTAAATAAAATATATATTGTATATTAATTAGATAATATATTATTTTCAAAATATTTTATGTAAAAAATCTAATAAAACTATTATTGTATATATCCATATTTACTACTCCCTCTGTTTCATAAAACAAATCTTATTTTGACTTTTAAGAAAAATAAAGATTGTAAATTTTCAAACAAATATTGAGGGACGGAGGGAATAGTCTTTAATAAACTCTTTTGAGATTAGATGATACACCATCTTTTTCCTAGTATTTGTTAAATTTTTATTTTTTGCAATCAATTTCTATTAATCTTTATCAATAACTAAATAAAATTTATATTGCATATTAGTTAAATAAAACAATATTTTAAAAATGTCTTATAAAATAAATCTAATAGGTTACTTTTGTATAAATATCTAAAATCAATTTTACTCAATTAGAGTTTAAGTTTGCCAATCTTGATTAGAATACAATAAAAAAGGGGGAAATATTTGAGGTAGGTAATTAAGAAAGTATGCCCAAAACGTAGTCTATAAATGAGAGAGGAATACAAATATTAAGCGAGATGCATATAGATGATGGAAGAGGGGAGAAGAGACAGCGAAAGTGTCCATTGTCGCACGGTAGACACAGCACTGTTGATGAGAGAGAGAGAAGGAGAGAAGGGTCAAAAAGGGAGGATCAAGATCACTGTGCACATGTAATCAAAGGGGAAGTTTAAGCTAGAAAGCATATAAACTCCAATTATCCCCAGTATTTCGACATTTGTCGTTTTCTTATTTGCCACCACATTATTATTTTCTCCCATAAAGGTACTACTCCGTATAATGTACTAAATATAGCTCTACCATACATAGTAGATGGAATATGCATTTATTCATATGTATGTGTGTATTCGTATGTAGTGCGTGGTAGACTAGACATACATTGAGATGAGAGTTCAATGGAGAATATAGAGAGAGAGAGAGAAAAGCTTAATTAATTAGCTTTACTTGCGGAGAACAAAGAGATGGGTCCATACTCTTTCTATCAATTATTATTATAACCCTTTTGTTTTGGTGTACAAGAACACGATCCGGTTCTGCCGCTTCGCCACCGCCCGCCGGCCACCGGCCACCACCGCTTTCCCTGGCTTGTTTTCTTCCTTAGTTTTCTTTCTTCTTTTCTTGCAGTTCGATCTTTGTTTGGTTTCAATAATAATTCCTGAAGGCATACATAGTAGATGGAGGATCACTATGGAATGGCGGATCTGAGACAGTTTATGAGCAATACGTCGTTTTTCACCTCACTTCCGCCGCCGCAGCAGCAGCCGTCGTCGGCGGACGTGTTACTGACGCATCACCACTACGACATGGTGTTGGCACCGATGGGGGCTGCGGCGGCGGCCCCGCACCGGCCGACGACGGGGCTGCATCATGAGTTCTTTGCTGATTCGAGCACAAACGCGACCACAGCTAGCGGCGGAGTTGCATCGAGTGGCGGTGGTGCTGGGTTTAGCGGGCTGGAGCTGGAGACCACCGGAGTTGGGGGCGGCGGCGCTGTTGGATTCGACGGCAGCGGCAGCGGGAGGTGGCCCAGGCAGGAAACTCTCACTCTTCTTGAGATCAGATCACGACTCGATTCCAAGTTCAAAGAAGCTAATCACAAAGGTCCCTTGTGGGATGAAGTCTCCAGGTAGCTCACAATATTTGACCTAATTTCTTTATGCTTTTCTTTTTTGCCTTTTCCTGTTTTGTTTATTTTTGTTTTCATTCTCACCTCAAAACAAAAACTTCTTCTCACCACTATTTATTTTCTCAGTTTCAGCCCACAGTGGTGTGTCTTAAATGCAAAATAAATCATTTCTTAACTTCTTTTTTATGTTACCCAACATAAAAATTAGTGTTCACACCCACAATCCCTACAACTTTGAACGTCAATTTGTTTTTAGTACTAGAAATTGACAAAAAAAAAGTTGTTTGTATTCGTGTGTCTCCTGTATATATACTTTTTATTGTTTTCAGATCCACATATTTCTCAAAAAAAAAAATTCCACGGATCCACATATACTTTCTCTAATTTTTAAGAAAATAAAAGTCTTTTAATCTGAGCTTAACAGCCCTCACAAAACTTTTTTGTTTCCCAAGAACTTTTGGGAAATTCGGAAAACAAAATAAAGAAAAAGATATTGCCGATCGTGGGTAAAATGTCAATCAGAATCACGTGAAGGCCGGCTAATTAATTAATCTGTTTTAATTAATAAAAAAAAGGTAAAACACGCAAGCTATTAGAGTTGTTGTTTAAGTAATTTATTGACAATTAATGTGGTGAACTTTTTGCGTGGGATTTTGTTATATATAGGATCATGAGTGAGGAACATGGATATAGAAGGACTGGGAAGAAGTGCAGGGAGAAATTTGAGAACTTGTACAAATATTACAAGAAGACCAAAGATGGGAAAGCAGGAAGGCAAGATGGGAAACACTATAGGTTTTTTAGGCAGCTGGAAGCTCTCTATGGTAATAATGGCAGTGATCATCAAACCAATAACCACAACGGTTCAGACTACATGATGACTCAAAATCACCACCACCAAACCGATTCGGGTGGAAACCCCAATTTCTACGCATCGAAGCCATTAGCAGCCGATGACAGCCTCAGCCTCTCGAAATGCTCTTACTTTGGCTCCACTTCGTCAGGCGAAGAAGAAGAAGAAGAAGAAGAAGAAGACGCCGCCGGGGACAGTGCTGGAGAGAATGAAAGGAAGAGGAAGGGGATGAGGCGGCGGCGGCGGTGGAAGTTAAAGGTGAAGGAGTTCATAGATGAGAAGATGAGGAAGCTGATTGAGAAACAAGACGAGTGGCTGGAGAGGATGATGAGTGGGATTGAGGAGAAGGAGCAAGAGAGGATGGCAAGGGAAGAGGAGTGGAGGAAGCAAGAGGTTGATAGGATGGAGAGGGAACAAAGGTTTTGGGCCAACGAGCGAGCCTGGATCGAAGCCAGGGATGCCGCTTTGTTGGAGGCATTGCACAAACTAGGTGGCAATAATAATAATAATAACAATAACGATAAAGCTCCCGCAGTTCCAGCTGCTGGTGATGTGGCCCAGTTCCACGACCAGAACTGGGCGACACCAGCAGCAGCTGGAGACAGCAGTACCCATCATCACCATCATGAGATCAGCAAGCTCATCCAACTAAGGGCAAATATGGAATCAAGATTCCAGCAGCACATTGGGTGCTCAGATGATGCTCTTTGGGAGGAGATTGCAGCCAAGATGTCTTATATGGGCTATGATAGTAATGCTGCTGCTTCCATGTGCAGAGACAAGTGGCTCACCATCAACAACTACTTCCTTAACAAGGGAAACTTCAAGAAAAGGAAAGAGAACAACATAAGTTCTGGAGATTGTTTTAACTATAACTTGTTCCACAACAATGCAGTAGCAGGTTCATTTCCTGCTGCTGATCATCATCAACCCACAAATGATAATAATCTCCCAAACAGTCTTAGGTTCTTGATGGGTGACAACAGTAATAATGCTGAGAATATGTGGGAGGGTTATGAGTTGAAACACCAAAGCAGAGGGGCAGAATAGTCCAACAACAAAAAACAAACAAACAAACCAGTTGTGTAACATCAATCAATTGATTTTAAGGTATGTATGTCTTGCTGGTTTTACTGCGGGGATGGTGCGCAGGGTCATGTTAATTAATTAATTAATTAATTAATTACTTGAATTGTGTATTTAGTTGGAATGATGATGATGATGATATATGATCCATCATTTATCATACCGAGAGTATAATTAGTTGAAATTTGTGGGTTACTGTTCAATTTAACTTTGAATTATTTTTAATTACAATTCAAGTTCTTTGATCTGTTATTGCCATCATGTTTTGTCTCCCACATGCTCTTTTGCCTGTGTTTCTTCTCTTATAGACATTACCATTTCTGCCTCATGTTATTTTTCTGTTACTCTTAGAATTTCTGTTTTTTTCTTCCTCTCTCTCTCTCCTCTTTATTTCGGTTCCATAAATTAGTGAATTATTACTTCCCTAAAGCATTTATATACCCTTAGTATGTAGACTAGAGATCATAGGGCATGACTTTTGGGTAACTTAGTCGCTTGAAAATAGAATAAAATGTTCACTAACGTCAGGTCTTGGGAGATGCCAATTAGCCCCTCGGTATCACCAAAAGTTACCACATCCCTCTCCTTATTATTTTTAATTTCAAGTTTTTTTTAAATGTTTGAGTATAAAACTTTTTAAGGTGAAAGATGTTTTTTGTTTATGTAATTAAAATAGATGATTTTTGTTTTTGGTACCTCTATTTTTTGTTTAAATCATCCCTACAAAATACTCCCTCCGTCCCAAAAAGTTTGTTACGTTTAGAAAAAACTATATCCCGTAAAGTCCGTTACATTTCTATTTAAAAACCACTTTTACCTATTACTTTTTCATACCCTATCTATCACATCATACTTTTTTTCTAATAATTTACTCATCACATCCTACTTTTACACATCACATCAAGGGTATTTTTGGAAAGTCAATACCAAAATATCCCTCCCTTAATTTCCCAAAAAATCAAACCGTCATATTCTTTTTGGGACGGAGGGAGTATTTTATTTAGAAAATGATCCTTAAATGTAATTAAGGAATATAATTTGGGGAGAAAGACCAAAGTAGGACTAAAACATTGAAGATATACCAAAATAGGACTTTCATGTTTTTATTCCTGAAATAGGACTTACATTACCAAACATGGTCATATACATTACCAAGAAAGTATATTAATTTGCACATGTACACTGCCACATTACCACAATGCAAAGTCACATTACCACAATGCAAAGTCCTATTCCGGGGAAAAAAACATGAAAGTCCTATTTTGGTACTTTTCTTTATGTTTTAGTCCTATTTAGGATGATTTCTATATAATTTGTTGAGATAAGACACTTATTTCATACTCCCTCCGTCTTTGAAAACTTTTCTACTTTCTTTTTTTATCCGTATCAAAAAAACACTTCTAATTTCTATTAAAAAATTACTTTTACCATTTAATTTTTCATAACCTACGTATCACATCATACCTTTTTACAAATAATCTACCCATAAAATCCTACTTTTACCCACCACATCAAATGACTTTTTGAAAATTCAGAACCAAAATACACTCATTTAAATCTCTTAAAAATCAATAACTCCCATGATTTTAGAACCGGAGGGAGTACAATTTATGTACTCTCCTAGTCCCATGAAATAATTTACAATTCTTACTCCTTGCATTCCAAATTAATCATCGCACTTTCCTATTCAATTAGTTCCAAAAATATTTCCTTCTTTACTTTTCTAATGAACTAAGTAAGTAACGTGTGAAGTCAAACTAAGACAATAAATTCAAGGTGGGGGAGTAATTCAAACACTCAAATTTTTTCAGCTTTTTTCTTCAGTTTAATTTCATTATTTATTTATTAAAACAAAATAGTTATGCCACTTTTTTATTTTTTAAAACATTTTGATTGAGTCTTTTAAATATGGAGTCAATGAATTTTATTATATTGCTTTATCCTACCTCAATTTTGAAATAATTTGAACAAAAAATAAGGTAAGAGGGATTAGTAACATGACGTAAACTGCAATGTGACCTTTTTTAAAATGAGGGAGTAGTCTTGTTGTGGAACATGATTTTTTTTTAGTGTTTGCACCATTAAAAGATACAAGTATCAAAATGGAAGGCCACTGGAGTCACGCTGAACACGGACGTGGCTGTTGGAAAGGGAATCATGGTAGGAGGAGCAATCCTACGTTCAGAAGAGGGTCGTTTCCTCGGCGGCAAGACTTGCAAACTCTGGGAAACAGCCAGTGAGGTGGACGGAGAACTGGAAGCTGGGCTCATGGGCCACAACAATCGTGAAGGGTGGCCTCAACTTACACCTAGACTCCACTAATGCAGTCATGATAATCAAAGAAGCCCACAAAGACGACCCAATTAGTCATGATATCAAGATAAAACTTCAACAAATTCAAGGAAGTGCAAAACATGTCTATCGGGAAGAAAACACAGCAGCACATAACTTAGCACAATTTGCTCTTGGAAACAATAACTTTTCAATCTACAATTCCCTCTCATCACTCCCCAAAACTGTCAAAGGGGCCATTAAGTGTGACAATTGTTGTATTCTGATTCGTATTCAATAAAAAGAATAAATATGTTTTTCTTTATATATATATATATATATATATATATATATATATATATATATAGAGCTCCCAAAGCTAAAATCTCTGAGTTATATGAACACTTTGAAGAAGATTATGATTGTGTAGATTTTCTATAAATCTCTTCTTCTTTTGTAGTCTTTATTTGGACGGCCCATTAGGGGTTGGATCCAAGTTCTTTTAGATTTGGGCTTTGTTCGGGTTTGGCCACCCTTCTTCTTTGTACTTTTCATTGTACTTTTCTTTTCCATTCAATAAAATTTGTTTTTCAATAATATATATATATATATATATATGCCGCTAGCTAGTATTTAAACCCTATATAAAAAAATTATAGGAGACAAGCGATGACATGATTATTTAATTTTAACAAATGATCAATAAAAATATACTTAGGGGTGTAAACGGATATTAATCGGATCGGATATGCCATTACCAAATCCGCATCCGTTTATTTTTGTTAGATATCGAATTTGGATACAGTTCTTGATGGATACTGAAAATCAAAACCGTATCCGCATCCGTCAGATATCAGATATATCCGTATCCGTTTCCAATTTTTTAAATCAAATTAAAAAATACTTTAATTTTAAATTAGCTAGACTAAAGTAAAACTATTATTAAATGAATTATAATTTGTTATGGGATAGTTATTTTCTTTGTTTTCATGATTTGTGATATTCTACGATAATTTCATATGATAAAAAGATATACACAACACATATATACACATATTTTTATATGTCTGTATATTTTTTTATGTGTCTTCACATTTATGTTGTCTTATATTTTGAAATATCAATAGAGAAATAAAATAGAAACATCAAAAATTAGGAAAAACTAAATATAATGGATTGGATATTCGGATAAACGGTTATTTAACCGGATGCATATTCAAATCGGATTTTAAACGGATCAGATATACAAATACAAAATCCGTATCCATTTAGTAATCGGATATCCTTAATCGGATACGGATAATATCTGTAACGCCCCAAAATATACCCTAAAATTTATTGAATTAAATATTCAATTAAACAAAATTTGTTTTGATTAAAACAAATTGTTGTTGGGCTTTGGACCGAAATAAAATATATATTGATATCCAATAAACATAATTGGGATAAATCTCATAAAGATAAATCCAACATCTTGACTTATTGTGTGATCTTGATTGGGAACCTGAGTACAGACCCAAATTAAGAATAAATGAAGAAATCATTTATAATGTAAACTTTGAAATGATTTTTTGAAATAAATCATGGAAATAAATAATATGAATTAAATGTGAGAACCTTTTTGAATAAAGGTCAATTAAACTAATTTTGACTTTGTCAAAGTCAACCACCCAAAAATATGATGTCGGAAAAAGTATAACGAATAAATATAAAGATTATATCATTGGATAGAGTTTAATTGCATGATCGTAACGGTGCAAACGGAATTCAATTTGGAGAAAGTTGGACTAAAAAGTGTACCTCGACTGGGACCAAAATTAGTCCCAATCAGGGACAGTGCCTCCTACTCCACTCAGCCGATCGAAGATGCATTCCTACGCAAATCCTACGCAGCAATGTTGTCACCTTCCCCATTCTCTTCCTATATAAGCCACCATCAACCTTCTCATTCTTCACAAAAAACTAATGAATTTAGTACAAAAGTGTTCATGAGAGTGAGGAGAACACGCTGCAGTAGTTGGTGGTCACCGAAGTCGCCGGAGTTGGGAGTTATCATCGCCGGAAGTTTCACCGTCCAATCGCCGGAATCATCATTGAGCTTCGAGGTAAGCCCGTTGATATATCTAGTGACTAGAATGTTCGTATAGATCGTTTCTACGTTCATAAACGGTCGTTTGGTTGCGTTTTGTGTTTGACATGCTTGAAGAACCAAGAATCATAAACTATGAAATTGATGTTAAAACTATGAATTAATGAAGCTAAAATGACTTATGAACCTTGGAAAACATTTCTATATAGTTTTTACGAAGTTCGGTAACCAAAAATGGTATTTTCGAAATTGGACCCGAGAGGTTGAAGAAGATGAATAGTAGCTGAAATGCAGCAGGGAGGATCGATCATCCTAATTAGATCGATCCTTTGGGAGTGAATTTTAGGGTATGTTTGGTTGGAGGTAGGTAAAGTTTTATTAGGTAGGTAATGGAAGGTAATTGAAGGGAGGTAATTGAAGGTAGGTAAATTAAGGTAATAAGTTAAAAAATTGTGTTTGGATATTTATTAGGTAATGTGAGGTAGGTAAAATATTAAAATTACCTACGTACCCCTGTTTTTAACGCACAACAAAAAATAGCAAAAAAATAGAAATAAAATAGTTAATAAAAGAGAATAAAATACGGAGTAATTGATAAAAAACAGCAAAAAAAACTTTTAAAAAGCATAAAAAACAGCAGAAAATAAGCAAAAAAAAAATAACAGAAAAAAGGGCACAAAAGCTTGGAGACCTGCTGCACGAAGAAGATCGGAGTGGAGAGATTATCCATCAAAATTGCCCAAATCGAAGTGAATTCAATCGCGAGTGAATTGCAAATTCCTTCTCCAAAAATTGCAAATTCCTTCTCCAAAAACAGCGAATAAGCTCGTGAATTGGATGCACCAGTTGTAGGCGCACCCCAGATTCCAAAAATGATGCAAAGCAAGCTCAAATTCATGGAGTAATGGGCGATTTCATCTTCGCGGCACTGTTCATCCAGCGGCGAGAGAGTATTCCGAAAAAAGAGAGGAGGAGGGCAGCAGCGGAAAGAGGAAATACTACCTAGGATGTTCGCCAAATCTGCGGTCACCCGAAAAACACTGTTGAGAGGTGTTAGGAGGTAGGATTACCTCCCCCACCTCCGCTGACCTACCTCATTTTTTCTTCCCAAACAAGGTAAAATGTAAAAATAACCTCCCCTTACCTCGCCCTACCTCCAACCAAACACTGCGTTATAGTCTGATCGATCCAGACAACTGGATCGATCCGCCGAAACTCTAACCCGAAAATTTGTCTTAAAATGCTATTTTTGAGCTCTAAAATCCTATTTTTGAAACCAATTGATTATGATTATTATAAAAATGATTTTTTCACAATAAAAATGATGTTTTGAACAAATTAAAACATTATGTGATGCATGACGGTAAGTTCGGGTGTTAACACTCGAAGCTAGGCCGCTATTTGCTATCAAATGTTATGTTGATTGATGCTTATGGTGAAAAATTATTATGATGATTATGACTTGATAAAACCACTGATTATTGAGGATTAAATTATGAGTTGAAATGAATATGTTGATGATTATGGAATGATTTGGATTGTAAGGATATTTAGAAGAACTATTAGATATACCTAGGTTGACGTTGGTTTCTAAGACTATCTAGAAGACCTCTAAGATAGCTTAGAAATAGGCCTTGCGGGTATAATTGTGAATATTCGGTGGCCTGGGTTAAAATGTACGTACGGGATCTGCAAACCAAACTTGAGGCACTCGCTTGGGGATACCACCCAACCCGACAGTGAGCATTCCGCTGTTTGGTTTCTGGATGACCTTAAGCGAAGGTAAGTTTAAAATTTTGAAAATCGCTCTTTGAAAAATTGTATCTTAAACTAGGCCTAGCTTAAGGGTAAGTTAAGAGTACCTTAAACTTGAATATAGTTTAACTATCTTAAACTAGAATTCGTTTAAGAGTTGGAAAATATCAAATAGATTGACCTTAGACTAAGAATACTTTAAGGATATTGTTGAATGACAAATGATGAATATTATATGATGAATTTGAATATGAATGATGAATATACATGTTGAATGATTGAATAATGAATGTTGAAAATTGATTATTGATGATTGAATATCTGAACTGGACATTATGTGCATGATATCAAATGATTTGATTATGAATTAAGATTTTGTTTATATGGATGTTCGACGCATTAGATATGCTTACTCAGCTTTACCGCTAAGCGTGTAGTATGTTTTATTTGCTACATGCAGGTTAATAGAAAGAATGATGTGACGTAATTCTGGAGGCAGACGGAGGCGAGATTGTCGGAATGGATGTGGTGTTTTAAATTAAAGAACATAAATAAATTATGTTTGTAATTATGATTTGTTAAGCTTCCGCAATATGGAAAACTCTGTACTGTTTATGATATGAAAAATATTATTGTGATAAATAAAAGTGTTTGAAATGTTTTAAATTTTACGAATACCAAGTTAATACTTTAGTCCGAAAGGGGCTGCAGACCTGGACAGATTAGGGTTTTACAATATCCGTTTAAAACGGATGCGGATATTTCTTTTTTAAACGGATACGGATACGGACGGTTATCGGATTTTCGGGTATCCGTTGACAGCCCTAAATATACTCCATATAGGAGAAGAAGATATGTGTAAACTATAAGAATACGATACTTTTCATCTTCCCAGTGTCACTATTCACAGGGTCAAACTTCACTCACTTTGTTTGCTCATTTTTATTATTCATTTCGTAAAGTAATATAGTCTTGTCACCTCTATTTTTCTAGAACTTTTCATGTAGTTTATTACTATATAATTTTTATCTTAAAATTTTACTCTTATATTCAAATAAATTGAATTAAAAATAAAGTTAGTCAAGCCTCGTAACGCGTAATGGGAAGATCTTAGATGGACGAAGGGAGTAATTGTTTTTAATATAAATAAATTTCATACAATATAATTTTTTATTTGATTGATAATTAAAGTTCATCTAGTTTGACTCGAAAAAATTAAAATGATGAATTCTATGAGCCTGAAGTAGTACTAACGAAACAATTTTCTAATTTTAACAAAAGTATACTTTTTTTGTTAGTAATTTCTTGCTTAGACTAAGGTCTATGGATTTGTGTATAAGCCAAATACTCCCAAATACTCCTAGTAACTAAGTGAGATAAACATTTTTTAATTTTCTTTAAAAAAGTAAACTAGTACGTAGTATTTCTGTATGGAAGAAAGACCAAAGTAGGACTAAAACATTGAAAATATACCAAAATAAGACTTCCATGTTTTTATTCCCGAAATAGGACTTACATTACCAAACATGGTAATATACATTACCAAGAAAGTATAGTAATTTGTACATGTATACTGCCACATTACCACAATGCAAAGTCACATTATCACAGTGCAAAGTCCTATTCCGGGAAAAAAACATGAAAGTCCTATTTTGGTACTATTCTCTATATTTTAGTCCTATTTAGAATGATTTCTATTTCTGTATTGGTATTGAAAAGTTTATGTGAACCTTTTGCTTCATTGTAGAACTTTTCTTAGGGCCTGTTTGGTATACAGGATTGATAGAATTGAAGTTGAATTGGAATTGAAATTTCATAGCATAAAATTGAATTCACCAATTCCAATTCATGTTTTGCATTATAATTTCCAAATCCACATAATTTTTGTGCTACCAAACACCATAATTGGAATTGAAGTCCTCAATTCCAATTCCGTAGTTTGAATTCCATACACCAAACGGGGCCTTATTCATTTTGGAGTAAATTAACTAAAATAATTATTCAAAAAATCTTTGTACAATTGAAGTTAAAAATTTTAGATCATCCCGTTCCATCTTAGTGACGACATAATCATATGAGTACCACTTTAATTTCCAAATCCCCAAATTATTTTGTGATAGGCATCGTTTCCAAAAGTATAACACCCATCCATTAATTCCACATAAAGAAAAAGCAATATTTACACTAAATAGCACGAAAACCTAAATCATTTCCTTAAATAGTACTTAAACTGTTTTATTTTCTAAATAACATTTAATAATGTCTATAATGTCCAGTGATGACGAACATTTATTTAAATAATGACTAATATAAATTGACTAAAAGTACTATATTGGAAAAATTTAAAACACATGTGATGCTATTTAAGGAAAGTTATTGTGTTTTAGAGCTATTTATGTAAATTCCCAAAGAAAAATTATGTGTCATTTCAAAGTTTGGATACTCTATTCGTCCAAAAATTATCTTTTCGTTCTGGCTTTATATGCAAATTAAGTAAATGTAAAAAATGTTTTGACTTTTCATAGTTGTCTTAGGTCAATGCAAAAAGTGAAATGATGTATAGGTCGATATAGATAGTAATTAATGGATGTAGGTGATTAGGTGAGGGTAGTGATGTGATTTGAAAAAAAATATTTGTCAAAAAGAAAATGAGAAAATAATTTATGAATGAACAAATAAAAAGGTGAGAAGATAAATTGTCGAGGGAGGGAGTATGATGCTAAAAAATGTGGTCAAGTAAATTTGTTTTATTTTGTTGAATCATCTTCGTGTATTACAAGCGTTGCTTTCATATAAGCGGATCTCCCGTTGAAAATAATTAACTGTTGTTTTTCTACGCGATAATCACTAGCCTTCAACGAAATTCGTTCCTTCATATTACAACAATACAAACTCATATTATGATGATAATATAAAATAATTAAAAATAAATATGAAAAAATATAAATACTATATAAAAAATAAATATAATATTTTTTTCATTTAATTTAAACAGAAGTTTAGGACCATGCTACATATATTAACCCTTTATCTTACTTCCAAATTTAAAAATTACATACTTAAATTAATAAGTTACAAATGTTTATTGTGGAAATTCGTGTATAATAAGAGTTAAAATCAATAAAGTACCTATATTAATGGAAATTAGAATATTATTTTTTACAAAAAAGATTATTAAGAAGCAATCCTAAACAATACAAAATTTGAAAATGATGATAATGAGTATATTACTCATCACATTACTTATATTATGTATGCTGGATAATACTTATATTATTTTGGATCCGTTTACTTATATATGGAAATCATTAATTATGTGTCTTGGATAATCAATAATATTATATGTTAATATATGTTTTCAGATTACAACAATACGAACTCCTATTACGAGGATAATATAAACAATTAAAAATAGATACGAAAAAATATAAATACTATTTAAAAAATAAAAAGAAATGTAACAATTTTCATTTAACTTAAATAGAATTTTAGAGCCATGCTACATATATTAATCCTTTATCTTACTTCCATATTTATAAATTTCATACTTAAATTAATAAGTAACAAAAATTTATTAATGGAAATTCGTGTATATATAGGTTGCAATCAATAGAGTATCTATACTAATAGAAATTCTAATACTATTTTTGATTCCTTACTTATTTGTCTTACTTATATATGGTCATTAACAAAATTTACGGAAAATCTTATTAAAAAATACTCCTAAATAATATTAAATTTTGTAAATTATGATCACGAGTATATTATTCATTACCTTATTTATATTATGTATCTTGGATAATACTAATATTATTTTTGATCTCTTCACTTATACAGGCAATCTTTAATTATGTATCTTGGATAATCAATAAGATTATATGTAAATATATGTATTCAGATTACAACAATACGAACTCCAATTACGATGATAATATAAAAAATTAAAAATAAATATAAAGAAATATAAATACTATTTTAAAAATAAAAAAATTAATATTTTTAGTTAATTTAAATAGAATTTTAGGACCATGCTACATATATTAATCCTTTACCAAGGAATTCTCACCATAATAAAGTCCTTTCTAAAATACAAAAGGTAAGTAAATAATTAAATGTGAAACTATCCTAATAGAGTCGTGCATTAGAAAATGATTTATGCATGCATAGTCATGAATGGTATGATATGATTTCCAAGAATTAATTCCTTAACATATGGTGATTGACAAAATTTACGAAAAATATTATTAAGAAACAGTCCTAAATGGTACTAAATTTGAAAATTATGATCACGAGTATAATATTCATCACCTTACTTATATTATGTATATTGGATAATACTAATATTATTTTGGATCCCTTTACTTATATATGGCAATCGTTAATTATGTATCTTGGATAATCAATAATATTGTTTCGTTTATTTTTAGTAAGGAATTCATTATATCTAGAATGGACCCACTATTATTTTAAATTCCTTACTTATATATCTTACTAGCAATGAGTTAAATTGCACACTTTTATATCTAAATTGATGGAAACCCTTATATACTTGAGTCAAAATCCTATTATAAAAAGAGATATATAATGAGTTGAAATGTGACATCCACCACCCATTTTCATTTTCTATTTCAATACATAGGCATTCAGAATTAATTATCCAATAAATAAGCGGAGAATCATTAATTCAACTTCACCGTTTTGTTTTTAAAAGGATTGGTGAAACGAGCATCCTATTTTTCAAATTCAATTGGGGCTATGGAAAATCAAGTTGACGATACATGGACGAAATCAGCTAGAGATGCAAGAGAAATGAAAAAAGGAATACTTCAACAAAAAAAGGATAGAAAAGGTACGTACTTTAAATATTATTTTATCTTAATATATTTAATTTTGTTTTATTGTTTTAAGGTAATTTGATACATAACATTTTTGAATTTTTTAAAATAACAAAATCAAACAAGATATTGTAGTGACCAAAATTTTTGTATTTAAAATTTATATGGTTGCTTTTTAATGAGCATTGAAAAATTTTCTTATTTTCATATCTAAATCGTTAGTATTGATAAATTAATTTATGTTAAATAAATAACGTTTTATACAAAATTTAAAATTAGATGTCAATTTTAAAAGGATTTAACAAGTTCTCCATGTGAAAATGAACACTCCAAGAAAAGATAAAAAATATGTGTACTTTTTTTTAATTATAGTCATGTTATTTTATCAAATATAATCTGCATTCGTAAAAAAATTAAATGTCGTTCATAGGTTTCATAGAAATCATGGATAATTAAAATGTATAATTGTTAATTTATCTAGGAATGCATATAGCTCACTGAATATTTTTTATCAAATTTATATTTACATCAATAGGAATAAAATGATGTCAAACCATGACTCTTTAATTTCATTTTCCTATATTTTTTATGAAAAAAATAGTTTATACATATTGAATATTTTAAACAATTAAATGGACGAATACTAACAAACTTGAGAAAAAATATTTTCATATTTAAAAAAATCAAAAATTTGCAATAAATTTGATATGCAATGGGTGAATATAAAAAAT